AAAATTATTTTTAGAATTATATATTATAAATATATATAAACTTTCGAGAAATATAATTTCAAAAAATTATTGTTTATAAAATAAATTACTAATTATGCAGTAAGGGACTATCCTCCAACGACCTTGAGCTTGAAATATGTTGTTAAAGTCATGACCTCGATTGATCTTACAATTAGACAAATTTTAGCCGTCGTTTGTTGTTCGTTAAAAAGTTAACAAAAAAGTTCATCAATAAAACCTAATTTTCGGACACAACTGCGCTCCAATGAAATAAATTCCCTGTACATAATTGCACCAAGTCGACTTGTGTACTCATATCAATTGTAGAACGCACTTTTCGTTAGATGTATATAATACTGAGATATGTAGATACAAGAGATTTATAATCAAACAAAACTCATGTAACAACAGCATAATCAACGCATTCTTTCTCCATGTGTTATTTACAATCTGTGATAAGAGATTTTACGGAATATTCGTTTCTATGCATGTTTAAATGACTCAAAACTCGATTCTTTTATAATCATTTTGCAATTAAAAATTTGGATTATTAGGATATATTTCTACATATATAAAGTTTAAATAATTTAAATTTTCACATGATGATTTAAAATATTTGAATTATTTAAATAAAAAGTAATTCAAACATTATATATCAACAAAACTTAATAAGTTTCTGCAATAAATGAAGATTCTGATCTGGACTCTCTATTCCGATTTATTCGTGCTGATTCATGCAATTCTAGCATGAACTTTAATGCATAAACGTGCTAAGCATATTATCGGATAATAAGTGGCGCATTGTGGCAGTGACATCATTATTATTTGTAATAGCAAAATCAAATCGTAAATTTTTAAAGCCTGAAGCTAATAATCTGAGTCAAAAGCAAAATTTCATAATGTAAATTCATATATATAGATAAAATATATATAGATTTATAGCAATTTAAATAATATAGCTTCTTTGTTTAAATTAATCTTATTTTATTTTAAATAATTTAAATAATTGAAAAAGGTAACACATTAATAACATAAGATTTAAAAAGATTAATTAGTCTTTAAAAAGACTAATTAGTCTTTATTAGACTAATTAGACTATTAATTAGTCTTTAAAAAGACTAAATAATAGAAAATAACTTCAATGATAGCATAAGTATAAGTAGTATGATAAACTTAAATAATTAATTTAAAGAAATAAATATATAATATATAGCATGTATTATGGCATTTAAACACAAGTTTATTAAAGTTATTATCACACAATGGTCAGCTGTGTATGTATGCGTATAGAAACAGTAGGAAGCATTTGTAGGATTTACTCATATCACTTGATACGTATACAAGTTTGATCTTAAGTCTAAGTCCACAACCTTGCTTTAAGAGGCCGTAAACCGTAAGCCGTAAATTGTAAGTAACAATACGTATACTGGTTAGAGAACTTATGCTTTTAGAATTAGCCGTAAAAATTGGGTTTGCTTAATTTGCTTAAGTCTAATGATTAAAGACTGTGCAAAAACAGTTTGAAGACAGAAATTAATATCACTTAACTTCTTTCGACTCATAATGACTTAAGGCCTCTTAAAGCAAGGTCGTATTGTGGACCTAGACTTAAACTCGCGATTCGGGAATAGATCAGAGCGATTGAAGTCCATAGCGTTTATATCGAGCGTACCAAGTGATCTGATATGTACAGATATGGTACTTACAATTAGTACATAGACGCGTACCAAAAACTACGCTATAGGTAAAGGATATGTGCATTTCACTGGCATTTTACTCTTGTACCGATTTTATATGTATATATCGAAATTTATTTAAGTATGTCTTTTAAACGTTACAGTTACAATAATTTTGTTACATTGAAAGCACATAGAAAATACATAATTTTACTGTATTAATTTTTTTACTTTTTGTATAATTTAATGAAGAAGGTACTAACTCTTAATGTTAAACCGCAATTTTCCGATAAACCGTTCGAATACAAAAATTGGCATTACAGCACATAATTAGCACATAAAAAGCACTTCATTCTGGTATAGGTGCCGTTTTGATTTTTTGTGGAGGGGAAGGGAAGGTGCTAATTTAACAGACATCTTTTAGACATGTTTGGACAGAAGATATTTAAAAGACGTCTTTTAGATATCTTATATGCAATATAAATGTTATCTGGGATATATATATGAACACAATACAACATCTATATAATTTGTTTATATATTTTAAAATGTATTATAATGCGTTCGTCGTTATCTTTATAATTAATATGTAATAATTATGAAATATAATTTCATATTTCGTGTCACGAGAAAGATGAATTGAGCCATAAAGATCGTACTTCAAACGCCTTCACAGTTTGATAACCCACAGGTGTTTGCATATATAATAATAAGCACAATAGCTACCATTTGTTGTGTATTTCATGCCTTACGGGCATACCATACAGACAACCCGTCGTTGGCTCGGTTCGAATCTTGAGGTGTCGCTTTCTGATGGTCTATTTTTAACGAAAGGCGTCCCAAGCCAGTCAGCAAGCAGGCGCTGTATAGGCGACGGTTTGGGCACTATTATAAAGCCGTGTCTGCCGGCCGTGTTTGTAATTCATTGCATATAAGTGCGGATCTCGCTGATCAAGCTCGATGATCTCGAACGGATCTTCATGGTGAAGAGAAGGGCACGAGGTGGATTCTCTCGATAGTACCAGTGGTAAACCCGTATAGAAGTTATTGAAAGGCCTCCGCTGCTACGGAAGTGACACTTCTCTCACCAACACGATTGATCCGTTCCGGAGACCCGTTCACGTATGTAGGCGAAGCGATCGCAATATCGATATATAATCCGTGTTTGGACAATGACCTTCCTTTCGGGAAAAATCTTTTTGCATACTGCTGGAGTTGCGATCTGCTGAAGACTCACAAAAATTCACTCAGGACGCTCAATATAAAAATAAATTTCATTTTTCTCTCTCTCTCTCTCTCTCTCTCTCTCTCCCCCTTTCGTTCTTTATTACTCTTTTTTCTCGTTTATATTTTATCAATGAATCGGCCGCAGTTATTAGCTGCTGCGAGTTGCAGCAGCGGGTGGTGGCACGATAGCAGCGGCAATGACTCCTTCTGGTACATTGCCTCTCGTGTTTGAACGGATGGTGTGTGCCAGAGAACGTTTTGCAAGATGCGAGATTCATTTCCCGCGGCGAGGGAGCCTTCGTCGGCGAGTTTAGGCGGACTCTGATCACCTCCGGCAAAGTGTGTAGGCCAGGGTGTCGCGCATTACGTAAATAAAGCCGTGGGAAAAATAAATCGCGGATAAAGAAGGAAAACAAAGTATAAGTGAAGAAGGGAGACGACTCTACTTTCTGTGTGCATGCACGTCGCGATGAGGAGAGCATCGTTTGATAAGTAAAATCTCTGTTCGTAATGTCTCTATCCACTCGAGAGACGAAAGAAGGAGGGAGAAAGTACAAGTTAGCCGAGTCATGGATTTTCCTTTTCTCTCTTTTTTCAAATTTTAATTTATAATCGTTATTGTTTGCGAAAGAGGATTTTCCCGAGAGAGTGCGTGATATGAGAAATGTCAGTTATGTTTATCAATGTGTTATTTTTCTCATGATAAATTAATACTACATATATTAGTCACGACATGTCCTTTAATCGGGGTGTAACTATATAGAGAGATTTTAGTGACAGTATACTATAGTTGTGAAATGTTGGAAAAAAGAGAAAGGAGACAGAAAGAGAATAACGCGTTATTGCAATTTTTAAATGAATACATAAAAAATATGTATTTTGAAAATTATGGAGTATCTAATTATCTCACAGTTGACAGTTATGAGTTATTTATTATTTCACATTCGTGTTTATAAATTCGATATCAAAGTTAATTGTAATATTATGAATAAAATAAGTTACGATAGCGAAATGACTTGATAACTACAAAAAGTAAGAATTAAAAGTGCTAATTTGAAGAATAATTAACAATTTTTTAATTGTTAAATACTCCATAAATTTTTAAATATTTCATAATAGTTCTCCTTCTGATATTTAGAAGACAGTTTTAACGCATTTTCTATTGAACTTTATACATGTTCTTTTTTTCTAATCACTTTTTCAATTAAACATTTCTCGATTGATGTTCGAAGTTTGATCCGTTAAAATTTTCTCGAAATTTTAGCTTACCAAGTGCCGCGAGCAGCTTGACCGACTTCGAAGAAACTCTCAAACTTCTACCAAACAATCTATTTAAAGCGACGTATCGATTGCGTTGTTACCAAGAATTGTCACGCTATATTATTTTCTTTAACACAAATTAACAAAATAAAATGCACATATACGCATTAATATTAATACAAATTTACTTAAAATTAATATTAAAATACACACACACGTTCAAAACAAAAATTTTACTATTACTGACGCCCATTTCCACCAATGTAGATCATAGATCAACTTCAATCTTAGTTTTTAGCTTACTGTTTATCCTTTTCTAATTCTAAAAATTAGAAAAAGGTAAAGAATAAATTGAGAACTGAGATTAAAGTTAATCTTACATTAGGGAAATTGAGTGTAAGTGAAGTAATTTAGTAAACACAATTATTAACAAACTTTAATAATTTGCATTCAGATTAAAAAATGAGATTAGTTATTTATTAAAAATAATGTTGTATCATTGTGCATTTAATCGCCGATTCTTATTTGTATATAATATCAAATAGATATAGTGTCGATCACGTACGCGACGAAGGCAACTATTCAAACTGTTACTGCGTATTACGTTACAACAGATAAATTTAGCGTTTCTTTTACACAGAGCTCGTTGTAGTACTGCCAATACTGCAACGCGGAATTAATTGGCTGCTTGGAAGGTAACCAATTCTCGTAGTTAAAAAAGCTTCATCGAGCTCTATGGCATGCCGACTGGGACAAACATTTGTCTCTCTAGTTTTCTCTCTTTCTCTCTCTCTCTCTCTCTCTCTTTCTTTCTCTTTCTCTCTCTTCCCCCTCCTTCTCTTTTGGATATTATACAAATGGTCACAATTCGCAATATTGAAAATTTAAGATCGGAATGAGGTTTCTTCTGTTATATGAACATATATATCATGTCGCTAAATATATTTCTGTTGCTTTCAACAGAATATTAAAACAATATACGAAAAATATTTGAAAAAAGTTAAAGTTATGTAATTTTAGCGAACTTGTATGATTTCTGGTTTAAATCTCGTTTAAAATATAATTAATCTTCGACGAAGAAATACAAGTAATATAAATAAAGTTTTTAATTTAAAATAATTCAAAGTTTTTAAATAAAATTTGAAGTAATGTTTAAGATAGAGTTCCTGTTTATGTAAAGTTTTTATTTAAAATAATCTTTCTATGAAAAGTCGCTTGTTACTCTCTTTTACACCTAAAGGTACAGGAATTTCTTTTTGTTTGTACGATTTCCGTTAAGTTTGTACGGTGAAATCTCGTGGAGTTTGCGTAAATGGAGGCTCCGCATCGCGTTGCGAACGTTTCAAATGTCCGTAGACACGTTAACACCAAGCGCAACATTCTGAGCAATACCTCGTATGGGCTCATCAAGGATGCGGAATACAAGTCCAGCGTGAAATACAGTGGCTGTCTACAAGAGAAGAATTATCTACAACGTAGCATATCAGCGGACAATGTTGTAATACGTTCACGCGGTTACAAACCATCCGATAGACACGATCCGGTTAAAAGGAACTTCCTCGAGAATCTTACATCAAGAATATTGCACTTCGGCATGGTGAGTTGAACTAATTTTCAACTTGTATTGTTTTGTTAAAAAAAGAAATACATTAAATTCAACATGTCTTAAAGCTACTTGAATTTATATTACTTTTGAATTATTCGTACACAATGAATCCTATACGAAATCAAGAATCATCTTTATACACATGCTAATCTTTTTATTTATAAACTGAAAATTTAAAACCATTTTTTTAAATGTACATGAACTTAAATATATTTATTTTTATAACTAACAACTGTATATAATTATAATATATATATAATACATATAATTTTCTTTTTAGTTAAATTTTACTTAAAATTGATTAAAACGTATTTCACAAAGTCCTAAATTAAAATTATTTTATTATTAATTATTTCTAATTCGAAGTTATCGATTACTCATAATTTTTATTTAAGAAAATAGTAGTTGATATATAAATATAAAGTGACACAAAAATTTAAGAAAGAAAACAGAAAAAGAAAAATTATAATTTCTTATTTTACATTATTCCATTGATTTTGTTTTGTTAGTAATAAGTTTACGTGATATGTGTGTGTGATTTTTTTTTAATTACAGGAAGGAAGCGAGACTACTCCGATAAATTTGCAAAAACTACTCACCCCGGCATCAGATTCTCAAGAACCACTGCAATTAAAAAATAGTATGTATATAATAATAAGAATAATTTTTATGATACAACATATTTTAAAGAATATTTTTTTAGATGGCAAATATTTATTTACTTAAATACTGTATAAAATATGTATATGAAGCTTTGAAAAGAAGGATTCATAGTAGTTGAGATCAAGATGACAAAAATTTATTTTTAGAAAAAATGTTTGCGTCTTCGTATTTTTATGCACCAACGCATCCTACAGTCGAGGATCAGGTTGAACTTGCACGTCGAATTTCACATTCACTCAGCGATGTGAAAAATGTGAAAAGTAAAGGACAAACCATGTACGTGAATAGGAAAAAACGATCTGTTAAATGGATCCATGATGGTAATGGTATGTATCAAAATTATTTTATAATTTATTTTTACAATTAAAACTGTCGTGTGTTCTTGTGTGAAGAATTTAATCAATTTGTTGTTAAAGTTATTCAAGGATAAATATAAAAAGTAGAAAAAGAGAAACATCTTTTATTTACACTGTTAAAAATATGTAAATAAAAAATTAATTTAAGTATGTCATAAAGTGTGTGTGTGTGTGTGTGTGTGTAAATTGTTAAAAGTTTCTCTAAGTACCTACTCTCTTTCTTTATTTGTATCTGTAACTGTATTTGTTCATCTACGAATAATATTTATAAAAAATCCAATACAAAAATTATTTAACTTACATCATCAAATTGTTATCCAATTATTTTTCTACTTTTTTTTATTTTGTATAGCATATACAGCGATAATAAATATTATTTCACAGGTATTGAGGATGAAGAGGAATTAACGACGACGATTCATAAGGTAAAAGATGCACACTAATTGGTATACATCGTTGGATTTTTGGCAATGTATCTACGCTGTGAAGTAACATTTTTTCTAATAGGAAAAGCTACCTCTCAAATGTGTAATGAATCCGTGCGGAAAGGTACTGGACATTCACGGCATTCAAGCATTGGGTGAAGAAGTCAATATTGCGCCGGTACCGAAAAATCCGGAAAAGCTTTTCGATATTGTCCGTGATTTAAATAATCAAAGAGGTCGTGGTAAGTATTATGTATTTAACTGACATAAACTAATTGTAATATTAAAATTATATACATTAAGATTATACATATGTACTGGTGTATTAAATATTATTTTATTTAACATAAATGTAATAATACACAATAATGCTTTTGTTGTGAGAAATATAATATAACTAAAATTATTGCTGTATGTATAATATACATATGAACATAATGTTGTCAAAACATTCACAGGTGCCGAGATATTTGCGAAACGTAGGAAAAGATCTGAAAAATGGGTGGTGGACCAAGAACAACCACAGACACCCAATACGCCTGTCACACCGAAGACGCCAACGTATCCAGACAAATTAGTAAGTAGCAAAGTTTCTGTGTCTATATTTATTTATCCATAGAACAACAATTTTTCATTTTTATATTATAAATTTTAATTTATATAATACTACTTTACTTAAAAAAAAATTAGTAATGATAATAAGAAGAGCTAATGATCCGACCGGTGTCGAAACGTTTGTATGTAAATATTTAATTGTTTCATTAAACTAAATTATTTTGGCCTTCTTGTTGTCAGTACTAATTTTTTATTATTGTTAACCATAATATCATTTTTGTTTAAAAAAAACTTAAATAAATAAAGTAAATTATTTTTTTAATTTTTTGAGCTTTATTTTTTTAGATTATAAACATAATTTATTGTAATTTTAAAAAAGTAATAATAGTATTTTGCATTATCAAAGATTAAAAAAATTATTATTTTAGGAAATTAACGGTAACACAAAATTTATGACGCCTTCTTCGTTGACATCTCGCACGCCGGTTTCCAGCATTGATAAACCATTTTATAATCCTTTTACAATGGATATCTCTCTTGACACCACAAATATCCCGATAACAGGTGCGTACAATATAAATACAATTCAATGATGAACACGAATAATTCCAAATGCAAGATGATCTCATTTGGCAGATTTAGCTCCGTTGGCAAACGGCAAGATCTGTTTTCTCTATGCTCTCCGAGACGTTTTAAAATTACGAGCGGACATCAATGTCACCAAAATCTTTCAAAAACCGAGGTCGAAATTTATTAGCGTTATACGATATTGCTTGACATTATGTATATACTATTTATATAACACGTCAATGTTATTACTTTTACCGCAAGAAAACTTATACATTATTTTATATATTGCTAAAAATACTTTGAAATATTCCAATATTGCACAATTATGTGTATATAAAATTTTTTAATTTTCTATAACTTTTTTAAACTCAAAGTTTTTTAGGATATTTTATTACGTTTTATATTTTGTTTTTAATGTTTTAATTTTATTATTTCTTAATCAACATAATATGTATAACAAAATAAAATTAATAATATAAAGTAACATCATATAAAATAGCTACAGTAATAATACAAATTATTATAATAATAATTTACATATTATATATAGAAAAAAGAAAAAGTACGATATAATTATGTATAAATAAAATAGGAAAATTTTGAAAAAAAATTCTGTTCTCTTTTCACTATCAAACGTGCATGAACAATGAAATAATGTTTTAGAATTTAGAGGTATTATATTTGACATGTCCACGAAATAGAGATCAATGTTTGGCCGTGCCCGTTAAACAGTTAAACCCAAATTAAGCGATCTTTGATAATGACTGCGTTTAGCAGACAAAGCGACGTTAAGTAATGAGCGTTTATAGTGATTCTTTAATATATAATTGGTTCTTACCTTTAGTTCTTGATCTAAAAATCATTATATTAAAAAATTGCTAGGTATTCACTGAACCTCATCATTCTAATTGACAAACGTTATCGTTAGTTATTTAATCAGTGGAAAAGCACACTCTCTTAACACCTCATGTATCTAATTGTAAGACAAGCAAAAAACCGTATCTTTTAATGTTAATCATGTTTCTTATAATGACTAATTAAATGCATTTTAAGATAAATTCTAATCTCAGAAAATAATACATTAAAACATCACAAAAATAAAAAATTGCTATAAACGGTAATCCTATGCTATGACGGCAAATTTATTTGTATTTATTTGTAGTTTCTTCTGATTTCTGGAAAAGATATTTTATGCTAAATCTTATAACAAAGCTTCTTGCAGTTTTTTGCTATGCTTTGCTGTATCAATTTTAATTTGCGAGTTGCAGACAAGCACTGTAATGCTAACCGATGCAGCCATTCAAACGAGATAAAAAAGATTTATCTACGAGAAATTGCAGTGGGCACAGATTCCGATTTTTGTCCTGACCATTGTCAATCACCCATCGTTGAAAAATCCCGTCGTATCGTTTTCGATTCTACTAACAATCGACGCACTAACATGGCCAATAAGTATGTCGCAAGTAACAATAATAGATATATTAATAACAATTATCAATCGCCGAGAAAATCTGATATTTGCATGCGAAATTACAATGGCAAAGACATAAGGATTCAACAGCGTTTCGATAACAAGTTCAACGATAACATGATTGACAATAAGTTCGGAAATAAGCAACAGAACGACAGACAGATGCAGAATGACAACGAGGAAAGCGGATACACTCCTGTGCCAGTGAAGCAATTGATACAAGAATTCGAGAAAACCTGTAGACCAGTTCTGCAATATAAGCAAATCAGTCCAAAGATTATTCCAATCGTACAGCAGTGCCCGTTGGATAATGGCATAGCACGTTTCTTCGAGACGAAAAATCCTGTCAAGTATAACGAGAAAGAGAAATACTTACGGTGAGAATTTATAAATTTTTTAAATATTAATAAAATATAACAAAACAGTTTTCTAATATTTTATTTTAAATATTTTGTTTCTTAATGATAATGTTCTCTATTTCTTTAATTAATAGAATTATTCAAATCAATATTTAATTATTGTCATAAACTTGAAGAAAACTTAAATTTACTTGATTTTATGACACGCTACATATTTTGTATTTAATGACACGCTATACGTATTTTTTTTTTAGTGATGAATATTTTAATCTACCATTTTAATTGCAAATGATAAATGTAAGATGCTATTTATAATATTGTCATTATAATAGTGCATAGTTCAATAAAGTTTTACGAAGTCTACAATTTATTTTTCGCTTACATTATATACATTTGTTGCTAATTGTAATCACATGCATATAATCTCTCTTTAAATAAAGGAGATTAAGTTAGACGAAATAAAATTGAGATAGAATCTATTTTGATCAATTATATAGTGCACATGGTAACTACGAAGGATCTGCAACACTGCAGTCCCAATGCAATAATCGAATGTATGACACATGTGGAAGCTACAAAAAGAAGCTGCAGTCCCAATACAATAGTCAATTATGCAAAACACGCGAAAACTACGAAGGATCAACGAAACTACAGTCCCGATGCAACGGTTACGTTTCCACTGATGAGAGTGAATATACAACGGATGACACCGACTCCGAAGATTGTCGGATTGACTTGGGATCTATAGATCGCGGCAATTCAGCACCGTCTGCTTTATTGAACTGCTGCGACAGCAGCGAGTACTCAATCGCATTCGAGGACGAGTACATGGATACTCGACGTCATTCGATCACCTCACAAGAGTTAGAAGCCCTTTATGCCAACGACACGGCCACAAGATTCGTCAATGCCGAGGCTGAAATGCCTCCTGAAGCAAAGTCATTGATGCTCTCGATGATCACCTCACAGGAGAATATACTCGAAACTAAGAAACATTTGCGTAACACGCCAGTTTTGGATAATCTTTTAGGCACCACTACTCCAGAATGTAAACTTAATGACGTTAACCCAGAATTAGGCAAGTTAATATGCATGCGCTTTTGTAATTCAGATATTGCTTTCGCATATACTAAACATACAAAACGATCTTTAACGCAAGTTACTTCTAATTTTATGTAGCGCTAAAAATAACAAACGAATTAATAAAAATTAATTGAATTATATACAACACATGAATTTTTTGTATTTTTATATATCACATAAAAATAAAAAATCATAAATGGGCAAACAAAATTTTTTCATTTTTCTATGCATTTTTTTTATATAAAAAATACATTTTTTTAACTTTTTGTTTAAATTATAATCTTTGTATATAAAATTTTTGTCTGGTTTATCAGAATAATCTTAAATAAAATTAATTAAAGTGTCTCTTGAAACAGTTTGATATAATATTGCTATTTTCGACAGTATTTTTTAAACAGTACTTTGCGTATTTATTTGTAGATAAACAATAAAAACACAGTAATAAATATAGGATACATTTTCGCAGTCATTGTACAAAAGTAAAGTTTATTAAAATTATATTTCAATTAGTAATCTTTCCATGATATTTATATATTCGCAGATTTTTATTTAAAGTTTTAATTTCCAGGGAACAAATTGTACGAGAATAATAACTATACTGGACCAAAATTAGCCAACCTGCACAATCTGACAAATTACAATACAGCACCGCGTGGATGGAATCAATCATTCACGTTTTATCGGCCTATTAAATTCGAGAAACCGCAAGAGATTATGTATTCTGATTTTTAGGCATACACTATAATAAATTTTATAATTATAACCCTTTTACATATCGGTAAGTATTTTAATTTTTTCCATGAAAAGAAATTATTTTGTTATTTATATGTATATCAAATTTTATTCTGTTACATCTGTTTTTTTGCTTCCTTCTTCTTCTCTTTTATCTTTTTTCTATCTTTTTATTAGAGTCAAATAAAACAAATTTTGTTTCTAGGTACTGAAAGATCAATCGTAAATCTAATTCCTCTGAGGCATCGACAAGAATTAATAGAATATACTTTCCGCACTGTTGCGTTAATTTTTACTAGCACCATGATTTAAACCTACGAACCATTCAAATATTTTCACCATGAATAAACATATCGCGATATGATTGCGCCGTATCCGCGGCATGTTTAAAGTTTGCTTTGGTGTACCTCTATCTCTTCTATCCCTTATTGAGATATTTAACTTTGTTCATGCTTTGACGGTGTTACATTATTGCATTTTACTTTATTATATATAATGCAAATAAATATGTTGTTTTCCTAATTTTTATCATAATTTGACTTACCATTTTGATTCATACCTAATTTCAATGCACTTCAAACTTTACTGGACTCACCTTATGCTTACGGAACTTGATTTATTCTTAGTAATAAGTATTCTGTAGCAATAATTTTATGTAGCATTAAATTTATACAGGGATATTAGATGCGATTGCGATATATTTTAAAATTAATTAATCTCTTTTAATCTTATTGTGTAAGATAAACATTAGCCCTGCTTACCTTTATGCAAAGAAAAAATGTTATAAATAATATATGTATATAACGCTTTTGACGTTTTTTTACGAGTATTTTCTTTAAAGATATTAGAAAGTTTGCGGGTTATTATCTATTTTAATACATGTCTTTATCTATTGTTAATGTCTATAATATATCTACATAATGTACGTATATTGTATATCTGACATATACAGAGTATCTCATTTTAATCAAAGCACATTTCTCAGGAGCAAGATATCGAAATCGAATATCTTTATTTATCATGTTTCAGGAAACCCTAAAACTTTTATCTGAAATATTTTTTGGTAAAAGTCGTAGGAAAAAAAAATATTTGTGGCAGGACATTATAATGCCCATCCTGTATACATTTACATATATGTGTGTATGTATATAAATATTCTTTTTAGAGGAACAAAAGAAAAGGATTTACAAATACGTTATTACTTGTACAAAAAACAGATAACACATATCCAAATACATATATATACATATAATATATTAAAATTTTGATAAAAAAAACGTTAGAAGTTTTAAATCATTTATTTTGTTTATGAAGAAATAAAAAATCACAACATTTATCAAAAGATAAAATTGTTGTACACATTGATACAGATATTCTGATAAAAAAAATGTAGTTTTCATTGTATTACGAATTTTTAAAAGAGCTTATCAATTATTATTTTTTTATATGAAATATTTCTTTATCGGGTAAGCTAGAATATACGTAAAGCTTATAATACGAACGTCTTTTATCGTCTTTTATCTGTTGCGACAAGCTATCACAGTCCGTCAACGATATAAGTATAGGATGGCAGCTTCATTATCTCATTAGTTACATTCGTTGTGTGTCGGAAGAAGCAACCATCTTTCGCTATGTTGCAATACGATTTTCTGTTTCTTCTTCTGTCACTGGCGTTGGCACAGTTTTTTGCCTCTGGCGATGCAGCACGAATACCACGAACTACACCAGATGCAGCGACCACCAAGAAGTGTGGCTTTGAGGTACGTAAATTAATTACTAATTGTAGTAAATAAGAATACAACATAAATTGCTATTTCGCTTTTGATGGTCCGAGTCAATTTCGAATTCATGTCTGCTGTTTTCTGTGTAATGATGAAGATTGCGTTTTTATTAAATTAATTTGGTAAGTATAATTAATATGTAGTATAACATTTCCTCCTCCAATTTTCCTGTAATTTTGTAAATTTGTATATTTTCACGCGTAAAATAAACATCATTTATAATTATCATTTGTTTAATTACGAATATTAAAAAACTTTAAAATTTAATTTTTTTAGAGAAAACAGGATTTAAAAGTGTGGGTTTTTTTTCTTACAATTAGAATATTGTACATTCTACATGTGAAACAATATAAATTAACAAAATTACAGGAAAATTGGACATGAGTACGTTATACTACATATATATTTACCATTAATTTAATTTATTTAATATATATTATAAAATTAAAATCTTATTTAAATGATTATAAAAATAAAATATATTTGATATATACAATTTTTAATTTTTCAGGCGTGTCATGCAATACATCCTAACAAACTTAATATTCACATGGTTCCACATACTCACGACGATGTCGGTTGGTTAAAAACTGTTGATCAATATTACTTTGGAAGTAAGTAAATGGTAAAACTATATAATTACAAAAGAATGTATGAAACTAATAATGAAAATTAATATAATAATAAGGCTTTGTACGTATAAATAAAAATTATACATATAAATAAGTACATATAAATAAGGGTATTTTAAATTAATAAGGGCAAAGAGCCAGTATAATATGATAACTACTTTAATTCAAATAATAAACAAAATCATAAGTTTCGACTCCGATCGGGTCATTCTCAATGTTACAAATTAATAACAACTCGTTCTGATATATTTTAATAATAATACAAAAATTTCGTTGTCTGTTATATAAAAGTAGAAAATTCGTTATCTATTCCTATATAAATTCTTTTTTATGCCTGTTGCGTCAATTAAGTAAAAGTAGAAAAATAGTTATTATAAATATTTAATAATGACAATATAAAAATATGATGGAAAAAGAATATTTTTATTTATACTTTTTAAAAAAAGAGAGGAAAAGTAATAAAACTCTAAAGTTCATAAGAAAATATAAAATATATGTATATAATGTATCTATATATAATATAAAATACATGTATGTGACATAAAACTTGAAAGCTCCTTAGAAACTCAAAAACATTTTAGAAAGTCCCTAGAATGGATGAAAACACGTCGATAATCCGCAAACTTTCTAGAATTTTTGAAGATAATACCTGTGAAAGCTTTGAAAACGTTATCTCTAGAATTATATTATATGTATCATTATATGTAGATAGTAATTGTAATATTTTTTTCTTGAAAAAGGGATTAGAGATTTCTTATTTTTTATTATTTAATAATATTATTAAATTTATATTTATTGATTTTATTTTTTACAATTTGTAATGAAAATTTTGTATTCATCGAGGTCGCTCTACAATCCAAAAGGCTGGTGTGCAGTATATTCTCGACAGTGTTATTAAAGCACTGCTAGCTGACTCAAATAGAAGGTAATTCTATCTACCTGAAAAAATACACAATTGTCGATAAATATTTGTAATATCAGCATATATGTATAAAACATTCCATTATCAGATAAGTAAATACATACAATATAGATAATGTTATTATACCTATTATTTTTATGACAAGTTTGTCGTTTTAAAAGCTTATAATATTTTCAATCTTCTTTATAAAGAAATTTTTTTTAAAAAGTTTATTGACAAGGAATCCCGCATATTTCTTAGTTTTTGATTCTCGGTTAAATCTTCTCATATTTTAAGAAATTGCATTGTAGTTCCAAGTGTCCTGATTAAAAGTGTCAACGAGCTCCTAATAAATTTACAGTTTTTAAGATATAAGTAATTAATTGTGAACTTGACTAATTTTATATTACCCAATTATTTCTGCAGATTTATTTACGTGGAAACTGCTTTCTTCTGGAAATGGTGGCTACGACAAAATGAAAAAGTACGTGCTGACGTCAAAATGCTAATTAACGAAGGACGATTGGAAATCATTGGAGGAGCATGGAGCATGAATGATGAAGCTTGTACTCACTATCATTCATTAGTGGATCAATTTACATGGGGATTCAGGTATACATATGTATTTGTTTGTATATATAAGCACGTCAGTGACAGCCTCGAAACTGAGTATATTTAAAATTGATAATTTACGATATATACTTTTCTCACTCGTCTCATATCTGTGATTCTATTGATATATTTGAAATACAAGATATAATCCAGATAACACGATTGAACTCAAAAGATATTTATCTTCTCAATCAATTTTTTATGAAAAAAATTGCTTAAGAAGATAAACTCAAAGAATTCAAAAATATATGCAAATATATTTATATATGCATATTTGTGTACGTGTTACCATATGTTACCTTTACTAAAAGTGAAGAATATTTTTTTAATCTGAAAAAGAATTAAATATATTTAATTGATGACATAAAAGTGATATGCAAATTTTTTGGGACTCTTAAAAATTTTTTTTCGAACAGAAATAGAAAAAAAACGGGAATTTATTCTGCACATCAGGAATCAAAAAAAATTTTTTTCGGATTCTGTCGGCGCTATTCGGAAATTTAAATATTTAATTAAAATCTATAAATATTTTAAAAAGTATATTTTTAAATATATGGTAATATATATGTATAATAAATTATATTAATATATAAAAATAATATAATGCATCGATATTAAGTATTAATCACATAATATTTATTATATCATATAATATTTATTTTTATTTTTATTGTTTAATATATTATGCACAATGCATAAATGTACATTTCGTTTTCTAGATATATTTTACATAAATTTTTATTTAAAATTAGTATAATTTATAATGTGAGATTCTTAATCTGTATATAGAAGACTCAACGACACATTCGGAAGCTGTTCCAGACCGCGTATTGGATGGCAAATAGATCCTTTCGGTCATTCTAGAGAACAGGCTTCTTTATTTGCACAGATGGGATTTGATGGAATGCTGTTTGGTCGCATCGATTATCAAGATAAGGAGAATAGATTGAGTAACAAAACAATGGAATTTATTTGGAAAAGCAGTCCAAATTTAGGTAAGAAAGTTATTCTTTGATAATAATAAAGAATAACAATTATTAAAAAAAATAAAAATTTAATTGCGTTGTAAAAAGGAAAGTCTATAATTTTTATTGGCTATAAATAAAATTTGACAAAATATTTGTGTAGAAGTTTATTTTATTGATGAAAAATATGCTAATAATTAAGTAAGATAAGATTATTTTTCAAAACTTAAACTATCCAAAAACAGTTCCAGGTTTAGTAGCAACTATTAAAAAAATTATTAGCAGTATTAAAAATGATATGTAAGGAAAAGTTTTTACGCGTTTTCGTTAAAAAAATTAAATTTTGTATAAATTCAAATGGTCGCACTTTTTATTAGGATTATTAGCAATTTTTAATCAATATATTAAGTTTACATATGTACAAGTTTATTAAATTTTATATATATTTATTAAAAATATTGCAGACTTTCCTCTTTTTAACTCAATTTTTGCTTTTCCGATAACTGAATTTATTTGAAAATAACAACTGATTTGTTTTAACACATTTCCATAAAATACTCTGTAGAA